CTCAAGTCTTATCAGCAGCAAGTTCCTATTATACTGTTTCTCACAATGAGAATAATATGGGGCCTGCTTTATTAAGGATCAAACTGTGTGCCTTCCACTTAAATTTAATCATCTCCACAAACCTGCAAGGTAGGAAATATCATCCTGTTTAGTAGAGGATGAAACAGAAATTCAGAGGGTTTATGTGAGTGTCGAAGATCCGACAGCCAGGTTTCACACCTAGGACTCTAGGCTCTCAAAAGGCCATGCTTTGCCCTACATGCCATGATGGTTCCTGATGCAGTTAAGGCAATAAAATGTGCACGTGAATAGCATAATCTAGCCGGACAAGGAAGCCGTCTTGTAAATAACAGTGCCAAGTATTGCATAGGTTTGCAGGTGATGAATGAATCTGTGCCCATGTGCAACCTCTCCAGAAACTTCTTTTTAAATACTAACCTCCTGATTGTGCAATTGGACGCTCTGTCCACGCATCAACCCTGCCTTAGCTAGAATGATCTAGAGCTTACTTGTCTTGGTTTTGGGTCAAAATATGTTCTGAAGGTTTAGAACATAAAGGTGGTTCTGAAGGTTTAGAACATAAAGGTGGTTCTCAACCTTCCTAATGCCGCAACCCTTTAATACAGTTCCTCATGTTGTGGTGACCCCCAACCATAAAATTATTTTCGTTGCTACTTCATAACTGTAATTTTGCTACCGTTATGAATCGTATTGTAAATATCTGATATGCTATATGTGTTTTCCGATGGTCGCGACCCACAGGTTGAGAACCGCTGGAGGGTTATCACTGAAAAGAAAATCGCTGTTACTTTTGTTTTTAACCCTCACCTGAGAACATGTTTAGAGAAAGGAAGGGAGAGAGAGAAACATCGATGTGAGAGACATCAATCGGTTGCCTTCTGTATGTGCCCCAACTAGAGATCAAACCCCAAACCCAGGTATGCGCCCTGACTGGGAATCAAACCAGCCACCTTTCAGTGCACAGGACGACATTCAACCAATTGAGCCACTCTAGCTGGACTACTGTTACTTTTATTTCAGCCTCGCTTTTCTGCTTTAGAAACCTTATGACATTTAATCTATCAATTTCAGGGGTTTTGGGGCCATTTCAGTGCCTGGAGGAACCTGGTGTTTCCCCCGAGAAAGAGAGGCATGCTCAAGCAGCATTTATCGGCCAAAACCTAGGGGCTCCAACCAGAAATCGAGTTTCTACTCGTTTCTGATGGTTTGTGCTCTTCCTAATCACCATTTCATCATGGGCTTAAAATAACAGACATAAGGAAAAGTGCAAACTTTGTCTACGTGGAAAATGAAGCTCGGTGTCCTTCCTGTCTGAGTCTATTACTCCCCTCTCTTCCTGAATCCCCTTCTCCTTTCTCGAGGCTTTAGGGACTCCAGACCCCATCTCCTCCTCCTCCGTCCTATTCATACCTGCTCACAGGACATGTCTAGATCTCAGTGCAGACTTAAGAGATGGCATCTCCTCTGGGCGGTCAGTGTGCTTTGAAATTGATCTATCACTAGGAGCCCAAAGGCATTTTATCTGCTGGGAAATGTCATAAAGGCATTTTCCAGGCACGGGATCCTGTTCAGGGCTCGGAAGTCACCTCAGGGCAGCTTGTCTACAGGAATGACTACTTTGATGTGCAGAGAGGGAGGGGCAGTATGTGGGAGCCGGTGGCTTGGTCTGGGAAGCTGAGACTGGGCAGGTGGGTTACAGAATGAGTTGACTTCAGAAATATGTTACTTACCTTATATATTTGCCTGCTGTGAAAAGTGAGAATTTGTATTTTTTTTTTCCTGGATGGAAGTAGTTTTTTCCACTGAAAATGTAAATGTCGTGTTAGTGATTCTCAAAGAGATCAGAGGAAGGTCTTAGATTGTGAAGTCCCTATTTGTTTTAGGGTAACTGGTAACAGATGGATGTTATGTATTCTCTTATACATTTCAGCTTGATGATTTTGCCTGAACATTCAGCTATTTGTGAAACGACCCAAAGTTGGAAACCTCACCTTGAAATACCACACTAATTATAATTAAAATATGAGAAGGTGGTAGCATTTTTTTAGGGCTTCCAGGTTACATAGGAGGCAGCATCTCCCTTCAGGCTACCAATTCCCTTCTTTTTGACCTCTTTAAAAAACTACCCAGTTCTAAATAAAAAGAAAAAAGAAGGGGAAAAAAAGCCCAACCGGTTTGGCTCGGTGGATAGAGCGTTGGCCTGTGGACTGAAGGGTCCCAGGTTCGATTCCGGTCAAGGGCATGTACCTTGGTTGCGGGCACATCCCCAGGAGGGGGTGTGCAAGAGGCAGCTCATCGATGTTTCTCTCTCATCAATGTTTCTAACTTTCTATCCCTCTCCCTCCTCTCTGTAAAAAATCAATAAAAATATATTAAAAAAACACAAAAACTACCCAGTTCTGCCTTTAGAAATAAGAACACTTATTATACCCCGTTTTTCAGTGAAAACTCCCCCCACTTTTCACTTTTATGATGTTAAACAGCAAGGCTTTGAGGAAAAATGACACGTCTATAGGACATAAGGTACTATACAGGCACATGCTACCAGGAGAAAAAGGTCAAGAGAAGTCTGAAGCTTAGGTGTAGTGTCCCATGGTGGCTCACTGCGGGCAGCCAATCTGCCCAGGAGGGGACAGGCATCAAAGAAAGGAGAGGAATAAGCCCCCCATGCTACACTGACTTAGCTCCACAAACCACCTCGCTCCCTCCCCCGCCCATTCTGAAATCTTATCATCTTTTTCCACTCCCCATGGGTACTTAAGTATCTGATCTTAAAAAAAAAAAAAAGCCATACAAAATTAACATTAAAAAAATAAATTTATTTCCAGTCTGAAATACTGCAGAACAAGCATACAGATAAGTATTACAAAGAGCAAGTAAATCAGAACATGAAAAATGACTTAAGACAGGGATTCTCCCAAAAATACTCTGATTTACACACAAACAGAGTTTTAAAGACATTTTCCCACATTCACAGAGGGCAAAAGCTGTATTTGGGACAGTTATAAATGCAACAGCTATGGAAAGCATCCGATTTCTTTCTCAAATCATTTGATTAAAAATTTACACACGTGTTGGTTACCCAACTCCATTTCCCAGATATGATACAGAATTATATGATATTCTTGTTTGACACGTTACAGATAACTTTAACTAAGTGACAGAAAATTATCAATTCATTTTGTATTTTCTCATATATTTCATTCTTTTATTAATCAACAAGGAAAAATAGATATGACATGTACTAGTATATGCTTTTCAGAAATAAAGTATTCCAATTTTTATTTGTAATTTCAGGAACTCAACAAGTACATGATTATTTCAAATAACATTGATAGTTTAAAAATAAAAAACAATCGCGCTAGCTGGTTTGGCTCAGTGGATAGAGCATCAGCCTGTGGACTGAAGGGTTCCGGGTTTGATTCCAGTCAAGGAATGTGCCCCGGTTGCAGGCTGGGTCCCCATTGGGGGTCGTGCAGGAGGCAGTCTATCAATGATTCTCTCTCATCATTGATGTTTCTATCCCTCTCTCTCCCTCTCCCTTCCTCTCTGAAATCAATAAAAATATATTTAAAAAACAAACAAACAAATAAACAACAACAATCACTCAGAGGAGGGACCTTAGAATATATTTGGGGCCATGAAATCTTGATGTAAATAGCTAAGGAAGTTAACGGGTCAGCATATTCTGCCAGAGCTCTCACCAACTGAATAAAAAGGCTAAAGACAGATTTTAAATCCCCGTATCCACAAAGTAGCAACCATAGTTGTTTATCCAATTGCCCAGGGAATGTCTCAGCTATATTTTAGTTAAGTTCCTGTGGTACCATGATTTGGTCCACCCCATGATGACTTTTTAAAAGATCTTTGAGATCAAATTGAATACATTCATTATATGGATGAAGGGACAGCTAGAAACAGATCCAGGACCTGGAGTTCCTGGCTCCCAGCCGAATTGTTCTGGTGACACAGCCTCTGGGTAAGATTCTACATAATCGGTTGATTACAGACGATGTAATCGTTCTAGTATAAAGCGATGCATACGTGATGCTCGGATCAGAGCTGCTAATTCACTTCAAGGGTATCAAGGGTACAGCGGGTTGGCTTTTCTTGTTTGTGTGGACATAATATAAATATCACGGCTGTTAAATGTCATTACTCTGAGGAGGATATTCCCTTATCAGTTTAGAGAGTCAGGATGTGAACAACATCTAAATTCTCACTGTAAACAAAACGCAGAGGTAGGCACTGTGGAAACACATTTGGTCCTATGCTGCTTCCCCTGAGCGTGTGAAAGCGCCGACTGTTCCTACAGTATGGAGACTGTAGAGTGGTGAAGACAAGACCCACTCTCTTGACAAATCGAGGCAGCACATGCCTGGGTACCGTATTTCTCAAAGGAGAATAGTCATAAAAAATGACACTGGAGAGCCCTACCTGTTTGGCTATAGCATTGGCCTGTGAATGGAAGGGTCCCGGGTTCAATTCCCATCAAGGGCACATGCCCGAGTTTCAGGCTTAATCCCCAATAAGGGAGCGTGCAGGAGGCAGCTGATCAATGATTCTCTCTCATCATTGCTCTCATCATTGATGTTTCTATCTCTCTCTCCCTCCCTCTCTAAAATCAATAAAAATAAAAAATTTTTTAAAATGATACTGGAGCCCTAACTGGTTTGGCTCAGTGGATAGAGTGTCGGCCTGCAGACTGAAAGGTCCCAGGTTCGATTCCAGTCAAGGGCATGTACCTTGGTTGCAGGCACATCCCCAGTAGGAGGTGTGCAGGAGGCAGCTGATCAATGGTTCTCTCTCATTGACGTTTCTAACTCCCTTCCTCTCTGTAAAAAAGTCAATAAAATATATTTTTTAAAAATGACACTAGCATAGATAGCATTTTTTAAAATCCTCACCTGAGGACATGCCCTTTTTATTGATTTTAGAGAGGAAGGGGAGAGAGAGAGAAACATTGATCAGTTGCTTCCCGTACTCACTCCAACTGGGGATCGAACTGAAACCTGAGTAGCCCTGACTGGGAATTGAACCCACCACCTTTCAGCGCATGAGGCGATGCTCCAACAAACCGAGCCACACCAGCCCAGGGCTAGACAGCATTTTTTAAGCGGTCTCCACTAAATCGGACCACCCAGGCTGAGCACAGATTTCCTTATCTTAGGGATCTTCAAGGCAAAAGTATACGATGTGATACAAGAAATCATGGAAAAGCCAGTTACACATATGATGACATTTTCTTACTAGAAAGGTATATATTGAAGAAAAAAAAAAAAGCGAGTAAAAAAGCCAGTGGGTACAAAACGTTTCTATTTCAAACCGGAGTGAAAAAATATAGGTTACCATTTCTCCCATGATAAGAAGGCAGAGCAGAGAAGTCAAGATGCTGAGCCTGTGTCTGGCTCCTGAGCTGAACTAGAACATAAGACCAAAGTCATGGGTGGGTTCAGTTTGTACACTGAATGGTTTTATGGTCAATGTCAGTACCTGTTACAAAGCGCTTTGTAACAAGAATGTAAGAAACGGGAAACCGTAGTAGTTGTCTGGAAGTAGCATCCCAGCACTGCCCTTCGGTGGACTGAAGTGTCCTGTCGCTACACTGTACTCACACTCAGGGGGTTTGACAGCTGGAAAGGGAGCCAATAGGACACTTGGTCCTATTGGGTATTTTTACGTATAAATTGCACATCCTCTTCTGTGACTTAAAGGGATTAGACCTCCACACGATCATTTTAGAAAGCCATGTAAGCTTCCACTTTCCACAAAAAAGAAAAACATTGACTTTTGAAAAATAAATATCAAGAAGCTTACTTTGAGATAGATGATAGAAGACTAAAAATGGGACACTCGTTAAATAATGGTAGTGTTAAAAGGATGTAAGCAAAATATTGCTTCAGTTAACAATTAAGCAAAACAGTGACTGCATGTAGGAGCCATACAGTAATTTTCAAGTAAGTGTCCATTTCTCATAACCTATGAACCAAGCCTTACAGCTCAAATATCACATGATACTAACTTTTCCTTTCAGCTCAAATTGCTGGTTCTGACTGCTTGGACATCATAACAGTTTTTGATTCTTCATCTGTGGGACTATCAACTGGCACCTGTGGAAAGAATCAGAAGATGAGAAAGTTTATAACATTTGGCACATGCATTATGCGAGATCAGCAATCGGCTCAGGGATAAAGAACGAGCTGAGGAATAGATTGGCTTCACACTTCTTCCATGCACACATTTCTCAATAGTATAATCATAGAAGTATTTATTACTTACAGCTTTAATATCGCCGTTTGTAATTCCTGTGTTTATATTGTGTCTTCTCAGATCAGACTTGATTAATGCTGAAACAGAAGCACCAACAGTTACCGCAGAGTAAGTAGCATTGTACTTTCTCTAAGTAGTGCAAAGTCTTTTTTGATCTTGTCAAATTTAGCCCACCACAGTGCCATAATATTCAATAGCATCCTTGTGGTCTGAAAAAGTAATAGTACCTCTCTAAGCCATTGACTTAATTAGCAAGTCATTCATTAGTGAGGAAATACAAGATGCCAGGAAACAAGATACAAAGATGAACAGTGCAGTTCTTTCCCTAAAGCACCTTCCCATGTAGGGAGATATTGACAAGTAGGCACTGTATATGAACTGCAATAATTCAGGGTTGTATAAGGTGTCATGGGAGCAGGGAGGTGGGGTGGGGGGGAGGGGGAGATGCCCGTAGGCACTATATAATGAACTGCAACAATTCAGGGTTGTATAAGGTGTCATGGGAGCATGGAGGTGGGGTGGGGGGAGGAGGGGATGCCTATGTTAGGCAAAGGAAATCAGGGAAGGCTTGCCAGAGGAGACACATTTGAATTGAAACTTGAACAATGAGTAGGAACTTGTCAAACATATGAGAGGACAGAGGAAGGCATTCTGGGCGGGCAGATTACAGCATATGCAAAGCTATTGGGACAGGAAGAGGCCTATTCTTGGCACTAGAGGTAGCCAGGGATCATTGAGGGAGATGGCAGGATACGAGGCTGGGTTGGTAGGTATTGTGGACACCGTGTAAAGAGTTTACACTGCATCTGAGAGGGGAGGATGTTATCAGGGCTGTAATAGAGTGAAATGCTCTCTCAATCTCTCTGACTCTATCTTAATTCTAGCCTGCATTTTCCCCAAGGCTTTTAGGCACATGGCTCCTGCTGTAGATATGCTAATCATTAGAGGAATGCTGCTTGAGGCTTGAGTTGTTGAAAGAATAGCCCTTGCCAGGGGGTGCCTCTCAGAGGAGGTAGGAAAGTATGTACAAAATTATGACTGATTATCAAAGATTTGCAGGAGCCTTAAGAGCAGGCTCAGACTAGTAGGGGTCAACATCAGTGGACCAGGAACAAAGAGATTTAGAGATTTACCCTCTTCCCTGGATCCCTGTTGGCACCCAGATATCTGGAGTCCTCAATCACATCTTGCCCTCCCTCCTTTCCTCACTTATTTTTCCCTTGACATAAAAGAAGCCTGAATTCTGGGCTCTCTTAAGATGGATTTGAGGAATGTCTACGGCACCCTCATCTTCTCAAGCTGGTGGTGCCTTCTTGATCAAATGAACCTTTCCTTACTCCAAGCTCTGAAATTTTTAATATTGGCCTTTTGAAGCTTCGGGGACACGCACAAACTTTGGGACTGATAACTCAAGGAGCTCAGTCTGGCAGTTGCAAGGAGGATCATTATTGGCAACAAGATTAGAGACAGGAAGGTCAGTTAAGAGGTTTTAATCCTGCTGAGAGAGGCATGGTGAAGCATGCATATGTGAGAAATGGAGATAAAGGGACAAGTTTCAGAGATATTTGAGAATAGAACCGTAAGACTTGTTGCTTTGATAGAATATGAAAAATGGACACAAAGCAGGTAGAAAGAGTCACTAAAATGCTCAATAACACACCTACAAAGAATATAAAAAACATAGGGAGGACAGAAAGAAAAAAGTGGGTGACTTAAGTTTTCTCGTTTGGGCAACTGAATGAATAGATGGTGGTCCTAGTCATTGAAACCGAATGAATAGATGGTGGTCCTAGTCATTGAAACTAAAAATACAAGAGGAATATGTGTGATGAGAAGATGGTAAGTTCAGTCCTGGACAGGCTGAGATGCCCACAGAACATCCAGGTCTGAAGATAAATCTATGATTGGATGTAAAAGAGATAAGGGTCTAGAGACACAGATTTGGAGTTACTAGTGTAAGTGGTAGTTAATCCACTTAGACTAACTGCTCAAGGAAAGTGTGAAATAAGCAAAGAAGATAAAAGCTGGTGGGTAGTTCACTACTCTGGTCAGTCATAAAATAAAGTAAAATTGGTGTCATAAAAGTTAGTCTAAGGCGTCCTTTGAAATCCACATTCTCTCTTATACTTCTGCTCCATTGCTGATACCAACAGTTTAGAAATTCAGATATTTATGCTGAGCTAATTGTACACATGTAAATGACTTTGAAGAAACTGGTGATGTTGTGCAATGAGATCATATTTAAAAGCAGTTTAGATATTAAAACACTAAGCTTTAAATTGCAGCCATGATTGCCATTGACTGATCAGCTCTACAATGTTGTACAATTTGCCAAATCAAAGAGGCTACTCACTTATTTTTTTTAATATGGAGAAAATGTGTATTTTATCATTACTACTAATTGTAGAATTTACAAACACTATGAATGGCATTATCACCCACTTTTTTCAATGGATGCAGATGGGCTGTGGACAAATAACGTGCTTTACAGGAACTGCATTCAAATGCTAATTCCTATGTCAAAGCAAGAACTCCCAGCAATTCCAGGGGAAGAAATGTAAAAAGAAAAGGTACCACCTTCATCACACCTCAGGACTTCCCAGCCCTCTTTCCTGTCTATACAAGTGAATCCATCACACTCCCTCCAGTAAAATTCTCAACATGTGCAAGAAATTACTTAGCATTTTTAGATGGGAGAAGCATCAACGTAAAACATTTTCAAAGTTCTTTTTTCACTTAATCAATTTTCTAGACTTGATTTGTTTGAATTGACATTTATGAATCTGATTATAAAAATAATGTGAAAACAGAGTTCAAAACAGCTCCCTTTTTCAAAAGTTCAACAATAACAGCACAGACAGTGTTGCTCAGTGGTTGAGCGTTGACCTATGAACCAGGAAATCCCTGTTTGATTCCTGGTGCAGGGTTTCAGGCTCGATCCCCAGTAGCGGGTGTACAGGAGGCAGCCTATCAATGATTCTCTCTCATCACTGATGTTTCTCTCTCTCCCTCTCCTGTCCTCTCTCTGAAATCAACAAAAATATATTTTAAAAAAACACAGTAACGCCCTAGGCGGTTTGGCTCAGTGGATAAAACGTGGGCCTGCGGACTGAGGAGTCCCAGTTCGATTCCAGTCAGGGGCACGTGCCTGGGTTTCGGGCTTGATCCCTAGTAGGGGGCAGCCGATCGATGATTGATCTCTCTCTCATCATTGATGTTTCTCTCCCTCTCCTTTCCTCTCTGAAATTAATAAAAATATATTAAAAAATAATAATAACACTATTTGATAGACATATGTTACTTTCCTTGGAAATTAAGAGTCAACATGGAATTATTTATGACAGATCAGTAGTTAAGGCAGTTAAAGTATTACTTGCCTCAACATTTTGTATGTTTTATATTACTAACTGAAGAAAATGTGGGAAAACTCCCTCATAGCAGGATGTGCTTTTTTTTTTGGCTTTTTGTTTCGTTTTTAGAGAATTTTTATGAGTTTATTTGAGCAAAACTGACAATATATGACGGAGAGAAGATCTCTCATGCTCCTTGGGATGTTTTCCTTGGTGGGCACGGGGGACACTCACGCTCTTTAACATAACGAATGAACGACAGTGATCTTAGGTGGTTGTGTATTTCCGAAATAAATGTTTACCACTGGTAAGATTTCATGTTGGGGGATTCAAAAAGAATGATCAGGTATTCAATAAACATAAGAAGAAAGCCTTGCTTCCCATCTTCCGGATAGATTCTGTCTCTTGTGTTGGTAAAGGGCGGCAGAAAGAAATGAGCAAGTGAAATAACAGTAGAAGCCAGTATGGACCAGAGAGCACTACTTGGACATGCGTTGCTTCTGAATCCAATTTTACACTGTATGTCTGGACAAAGCATGGATCCAAGTTCTTTATCTCGCTCTTTCTCTGGAGGTGGGGCACTACCCACTATCCTGCTAGGGCTCTTCTGATTACACCCAAGAAGTGTAAGAACTGGTCAACCATGCCAAATGCTATTTCTATCGCCACCATTTGACTTCTTACACCACCACCACATTGTAGTAATAGCTAACATGATTAGGCTTGTCCTAGGTGCCAGACACCTCCACTGATCCTCATAACAACCCTCGAAGGCAGGCTTTTAAATACCCTATTGCATAAACGAGGAAAGGAGGATTTGAAAGGTGAAGTCGCTTGTCTACTGACTCTTGTTGCAACAGTTTTGTTTTCTGTGCAGAGTGATTGTATTGAATCTGAAACCTGAAAGATAAATTAACAGCTTCGTATCATTGGAAGAAAACAAATTATGGCCTGCTTTCTATCTCATTTTTGTCTTGAGTTCTGCCAAGCCAGTCAGAATCAGTATACGTGAAAATTAAACATAAGGACAATCTGATACAAGTACTTTTGCCAGAAAAATAGCCTGATTTACCTGTGAAAATGATGCCTACAAACATCCAAGCGCAGAGGAATATGTTTCCTGCCCTCGGATCATAGTCTGATGTGAGCTTTCCTTGAGCCAGGGTGAACAGAATTCCAAAAATCTAAAATAAAATAATTATTTTCATCAAATTTGCTTTTGAAAAATAAGTACAACATTTTCCCCAGAATTTTCTTAACGCTTTTACTCACTTGATTTGACTTCTAGAATCATTAAAAGGTGGAATTTTAAAAACAAAAACTAGGGTCAAACTCATCATCCGCCGGAATATTCGGAAAACCAGTCATCTCAGGTGGAAGGGAAGTCAGAGGCTTACCTGTGCAGCAGCATTGAGAAGACCGGATGAAGTACCTTCAGACTCAGGGTACGTGATTTCCACAGCAAACTCAAAGCCCAAGGGGAGGTAACCAGTCATGAAGAAACTAGGAAAATGCACCCAGAATTACAGGATTAGCAGAAGGGCAATGTCACACAGAGGCAGTCATTCTACCTCTCAGGCCCATTCGAATGATCAGATAAGGGAATGTCTTGAAGTTGGTATGTGAAAGTAAGGCACTTTTATTGTGCATCCACTGACCCCCAAGATCACAAGAACTGAGAAGCAAAACAATGTCTAGTATTTTTCTGAGAAAAATAAAGTTACTTGGACTAAGTAAGGCATATCCACTTTCACCTACAAATACCAAAAAAAATCCAATTTAAAACTATTTTTTTATATTTCTGAAGTATTACACATGTATGTGCACAGGATGAATCTTTTAAAGTTTAAAATGTTAAAGAACCCTTGGATGAACTTTAAAAATTAAAAAACCACAGTAGCCCTAGCCGCTGTGGCTGTTGGTTGAGCGTCGTCCTGTGCACCGAAAGGTCACCACTTCGATTCCCGATCAGGGCACACACCAAGGTTGCAATTTTGATCCCAGGTCAGGGCACCTGCAGGAGGCAACCGATGGATGGTTTTCTCTCTCTCCCCCTCTTCCTTCCTCTCTCTCTAAAATCAATAAGAATACATTTAATATAAAATAAAACCCACAGTAGTAATATTTCAGAATCATAACATCATGCTATTATTCCTCCTAATCACCTTTTGATACTTACCCAAGCACCCCTCCAGTAACAAACACGATGATAATGTATTCAAGGTCCAGTGTGAAAGTAAATATAACCATTCCCAAAAAAGACAAAATGTAAACTACCAGAGTAGTCTGTCTAAAACAAAACAAAACAAAATTGTTAGTATTATATCCGAAGCGCATAATCATCATGTGGTTAGCCATTGCTCTGTCCACACAGTAATAAATACTTTGGTTTTCAAGATTAGGTTTCCCTTATCTATGGAAAATATTTCCACCAAAGCATGGACTTCAAAGCTTAAATTTCAACAACAGCAGACAACAAAACCCACACCACATCTAATGCTAGTACAGGAAGGAATATTCATATGGATAACATCATTTTTATGTCTCCAAATGGGATGGTTCCCTATCCATATTTCAAGACTTGGGTTAAATTCTACCTCTTCCAAAATGCCTTTCCTAACCATTGAAGCTTACAACATTGTTTCTTTTTCTAAATTTCTTATCATTTTACTATCCAAATAATTGGTACTTGATGTCTATTGGACTTATGACATCTATTTTAGTCTGTATTATTATTATTTAATTTTTTTTATGTGACTGACTTGTTTTCCCCATTTAGACCACAAGTGTCGTAAGAACAGGGACTATATATTGCTTGCTACAATTCCTAGCTAACTTGAGAAGACAGCCAGGGCAACAGAGAACACATTGCTATGCCTATCAAGTTTTTTAATTATATAATGGACCAAAATTATTAATAAGTTTAATCCCTTACATAAGATCCCTTCATCTATAAATTTAATGGGTTTCACTCTAGCTACCATTTCATAATAATGAAGCTGTAGCAAGTGCTATCTTAAATTATGGGAGAAGTATCTTGGAGAATTCAAGATCAGAGGTAATTTGAAAGGGGTTAGATCAATGGTTCCCAAGGTGGGGCACATGCCCCACAGAGGGGCAATTTGATTTTTAAGGGGGGCAATGTGAGAATGAGTTATTAACTGAATTTTTTGCATTTCTTATGGTTGTGGGGGCCTCATATACAGAATATAAATATATATTGTGACATATTTATGCATTTCAGTTCTCTATTATATGTTTTGAAACTTTATTTGTTTTTTTTTATATCACTTCATATTATTTTTTTTTAACAATTTCTTAGTGATTTCTTGCTCAGTACTTCAACTGTCCTTTCGTTCTTTTATTTTTCTCTTTCATGGATGCCATGTTCTTTGGAAGCTTGTTTAGACCAAGTGAATGGCCTTTTAGGCTTCCTCCTTGTGAATAGGAGTTCACTTTTTGAATAATAAAAATTATATGTCACAGGGGGGCATCAGGATTTAGAGATGCTTAGGTGGGACATGGCCAAAAAAAGGTTGGGAACCACTGGGTTAGATAATGGTATTAAACATATTTTGGGCCTTGAAAGTGGACAGGACACAGTTCCATATTTTATTTATCCCATTTATTCACCTCACTTTCCTTCATTCATTCATCCATGTATTCCTCCCAAGCAAATGGAAAGTTTCTGCCTGTTAAAAACTGTAGCTATTTCTTTAAGGCTCAGAGCAAAAGATGCTGCCTCTGAAACCCCTTTCTCAGTCTCCCAGTTGGTATTACCCGCTTTTCCTTTTGTATTATCATTTTGCCGATTCCATATAGATGTACAATTAATAAAGTGTTTTCATATTATGTATTATATTATAGTTAAGTGGTGCTATAGCTGGGGACACTGTAGTCAAACTTTTTTTACCAAAAAAATCCTTATGCTCAATAATAATAATTTTCTGGTAGGAAAGAACAACATTTTGCTTGTTTTTAAGCTCACAACATGAGAAAAAAGCAGCATAAAACTTCTGTCAGAGTTAAGTGTTTCTCAGAAAGGACTTTTTTAAAGAAGTGGTATGCATGAGTATTATTGGAGGAGAACAGTTCATAATGTATCCAAGTTCTCAAACTTTAAATAAATATGACCCACAAAATTGGACAATATGTAAACTACAGAAACATTCAGAAGCGAAGGGAACCCAAGAGTGCCTAGAATCCAAGTCTTGTAGTAATAACACTTTTTTTATTTTTTTAAACTAAAAAGCAAAGTTTTCTTTAAAACCAAATGAACACCATACATCTATCTACCTTCGCTTACTTGTATGTTTTGGTATAATCCAGCCATAAGCCACAGAGAATGGAGCCCACCATTCCAGCGATCACCAGTGTTAGCCCAATCCTCCCAGCATTCTCCTCTTCTCCCTTAAAAGAATTTTCATAAGAAGTTAATCACACACTTCTAATTCTAATGCATCCTTCACATTCCCATACCTTCACATAGTCAATGGAAATAATCAGATAGAATTAAGCATACCACATAATAGGAAGACTTGGTCTGTATTTTAGGATGGGAGCGGGGGAAGGTAAAGCATATTATAAAGGACATTCTATTTTCAAACCAGAAAAAAACCCTAAAATATGGAGAAATCAAAAAGGGGAATTTTCTTGATCCTCCATAATTAGAAGTACAGTGATTTTTGTTAGAATTCCTAAGTAAGTCACCGATGCCTGAAAAGGAGGTTAATCTGACAGCTTTTACATATTACAACTGCTTTCTCCTTTCAGAAGCAAAGAGAGGTCAGGGCTTGATATTTACTTCTTCATATTTGTGTTGGTTTCCCTTAAAATGTTTTTTTGTCTTTTTCCATATAACCAGTCACACTATTTCTTTAAAAAAGAATAGTAATTTTAAAAAGGTAGGCATTGTCAAAGCAATAACAACTTTCTGCTTTTCATTTTGTGTGTTTTATAAATTAGATTAAATGTATTCTCAATTGCGCCCTAACTGGTTTGGCTCAGTGGATAGTCTGCCTGTGGTCTGAAGGGGCCCAGGTTTGATTCCAGTCAAGGGCACATGCCCAAGTTGTGGGCTCGATTCCCAGTAGGGGGCGTGCAGGAGGCAGCTGATCAATGATTCTCTCTCATCATTGATGTTTCTATCTCTCTCTCCCTCTCCCTTCCTCTCTGAAATCAATAAAAAATATATTTTAAAAAATGTATTCTCAATTGAAACAAATATAAATCTTTTACAGCAACAAGGTCATAAATCGTTACTCTTATGATCATGCAAACAGCAATTCTACTGCTAAAGGAAAATCCTTGGCCAAGCATGCAACACAATATCGGCAGAAGCTTACCTTATAATACGTCAGTATCATTTGATTTAATAATGTTGAGACTGAATAAAATGCTCCAGTCATGATACCTATAATAATAAGCAGAAAGCTATAAGTAAATGTACCATTACCAGTTCATAAAGTGCTATGGAGTTCTCTGTGACAATTGTGAAAATACAATATATTTCTCAGTTGACAGAGAAAATTAAGAACTCTTGCCATTTCAGGATGTGAGCTGATCAATGAACACCTAACTTACTAGAGAATATGATAGGAAAATTCTGTCATTACACCATTTATCACTATTTAGATTCTGATATACTGACCATGAATCATAGCCCCACGCAAAACAATGTATATGGCAATGAAGCAACATAACAATGTATATGGCAATGAAGCAACGGATTGCTTACTGAGCACCCACAGTGTACTTGAACTAATGAATGTTAAAGCATAAGGCACAATCCCTGCTTCAGAGATCTCACCCCTGCATCAAGACTGACAAGGCAATTAGTAAGACAATATTAATTAAAGAATACTTTAAAAGAGAGAAATAAAACAGCTGGTTATCAGGAAGCATATGACTAGGTTTGAATCCTGGTGTTTCCTTGCACATAATGTGTGGCTTTAGGTAAGTCTCTTAACCTGGTTGAAACTTAAGGTTATTATTTCTCTCTTTCTCTTTATTATTATTTCTCTCTTTCTCTTTATTTCAAGCATACAAAACAGTACAGAGAATAATCTGACAAACACTCTTACTCTTCACCCAGCTTTGTCGAACATTAACACTTGACCATCTTTGCTTCAGATTCATTTTTTAGACCTTAGCTAATCTTACCCTTTTCTCTTATTATTTCTCAGAGATAACCCTGATCCCGATCTTGGGAGTTATCATTTTAGATGTTATAATTATTTTAGCTATTTATGTGTATTCATAAACTACAATTAGAATTTTGTGTGTATTTAAACTTTATATAAATAATATATTATTTGTATCCATTGCAAGTTGTTCTCATCTCACAATATTATGGTTTTGATATTTATCAGTGCTGATATTTTTAGTTCTGTTCATTTGCTTTCTCTGCTGTGTAATAGTCCGTGTGTGGATACACTGCAATTTATGTATCTCTTATCCTGTCAACAAACACTGATCAATTAACACCTAACTTACTAGAGATTATGATAGGAAAATGTTTTCCAGTTTTTCACTAATACAATATTGTAATGATTATTCTGTGTTTGTTCTTATGTGTAAGGGCTTCTCTAAGTATATACCTAGGAGTAGGACTACTTTCTGGATAAGGCCAAATTGCTCTTTGAAATGGTTGCATCAGTTTACACTACCAGCAGAATTCCTTTACTCCACATTCTTGCCAAACCTGTTTTCACTAAATTTTTAAAAAATTATAGGGAGAGGCAATTTGAGTGATATTACCGGTATACTTTGCTCTGGTTTTGACTGGCATTTCCTTGGCTATTAGTAAGGTTGAGCATACATATGAGCACTACACACATACAAACACATAAATGCTTTCCCGTTTCCTTGGATTGCTTGCTCTTTTCTTATTGATCAATAGAGTTACTTTTATATTGTAGGTACTAAGCCTCTGTTGGTTATATACATTGCAGGCATTTTTCTCAGAATCTATGTCTTTTCACATTTTACTGATGCTTTTTAGAAAAGACCATTATTTTGATACAATCATCTTTATCAATCTTTTTCTTTCAAGTTTGTACTTTTTGCATTAAGAAATTCTTTTAAGAATACTAATGTGGTTTCCTATACTTCCTTCTAAAACTTTAAAGTTCTGATGTTTACCCTTTGTCTTTAATTTATTACAATTCATTTTTGTGTATGGTATGACGTAGAGACCTAATTTTACTCTGCTTTTCCTGTATGGGTAATCAGTGATCTCAGGGCAATTTACTATATAGTTTCTCTTCTGCCAAACATCACATTTTTATATCTGCATAATGTTCTAGTCATTAGAGCTCTTGACAAATATTCCAGATTTTCTCTTTCCAGGCATTTAGTGGCATGGCCATAGACTTTAAATGTGAGCAAAGGTGACATTTCCCATTTTCTGCTTTAGTAATCATGAAAGCATGTGCCTTTAGCATGCACTTGCTGTACAACTTATTACCTTTTGATAAACATCTCTTACACTGTTGTTTACTTTTCAGATGTTTCTATTATCTTCCCATTGGATTATAATTATTTCAGAACAGAAATCATATCTGTATCATGCTTCTTCCTAGCTCACACAGCATCTATGGCACTACTGTTGATATCTGATAACTACTGGTGAAATAAAATTAACAACAGTGAGGTAACTGTTAAGCTAGCTGTTGTAGAACTGCTTGCACATTTCAGGTATAAGAACTAATGGCACAAAGTCACAGAGACTAGAATGAACAGTATATAAGCATGTGGAGGCATACTTGTGTGTGTGCTTGTATATGTCTGTGACAGGAGGTTGGTTATAAATTTGGCTGAAAGAGAATTTTGTATTGGGAAACGGCGAATGATAAAAGGGCATAGGAAAGAAGCCACCTTAAATGACAGGCTAAAGAAATGAATTTGCTCTAAGAGATAATAGTGAACCACTCTACTTCCTAGTCAGAAGTTTTAGATTCCGGAATTCATTAGATTAAAAAAAAAAAAAAAAGAAAGAAAAGAAAAAGGAATTAATCCTGATAAAAGGGTAAGAGTTTAGGTCAGGGCATAATTTGTTATAACCTGTAAAACAATTATATACTAGGGTGTGTACTCCCCCAATAATGTAAACAAAAGTAAATGATTTATGAAGGCAAGTAAGACAGATATAGGACGTGTTGGTGGTGAATATAACTGTGCTAATGTAAGAAACAAAGAATAAACTGCAGTTAAAGCCACAGAGTTAAGATGAGTATCTGTCAGCTATCCGGAAAGATCTGGGAGGGTGAGAATTTCCTTTAAGTTATAACTGGTCAAGGTGACCTCCTTAATGTCTAGTTTTGATCGAGAAGTCAGGATAGACTCTAGTCTGCACAGGGCCAAACAAGACAATGTTGATGCCATTTCCCACATGGTTACAGCAGTCCTAACTGTAGTTCAGAAAGCATCTAAAGTACCCATGGAACTCACAAAAGAAGGCACTGCTTCTCTACTCCAGGTCTATTCATTTATTTTAAAAACATGTAAGAAAATCCACCCTAAAGTTTTTGCTTTTTTCATTTAAGTTTATGACTATGCTATCATTACTTTTATAGAGTTAACAACCCTACTGCACTAATGAAAGCTCAAACCGCTAGATTAAATGGAAAGAATCTACAATGCTCAAAGGTTTATAGAGACATCAAAGAAGATAAAAGGAAACCACTTACCATATGTGATCAATAGAAGGACAAAAGGCATGTTTTTAAACAGGTTCATTATTGAGTTCTTATAGGAGTACTCTGTAGGGGGACTGTCTTGAATGGCTGCTTGAGCCCGACTTGGTGGATAGCGAGGTTTTTCTTTGAATGCTGGAAACGTATATGAAAAGGTCATGAAATAAATGCATCTTCCTTAGTGAGGTGACTAAATTCAGTTTACATTCAAAGAGGCAGTGAAAGTCCAAGAGTAAGGCTTTTCATTTTTCACTGACTTCTAAGTGATGACTAGTTTGGCATTGAAACTGACTAAAACTCAGAGATTTGGCCCATTCAAAACTGCAAAACCATTAGCAATACATTACAAATTTGCCCACTGGTTATTCCAGTTTTAGTTAAGCAAGAGTAATCTTTATTAAGTATTCAACAATTCTATTTCTAACTTTAGTTCAATTTGTAGTTAGAGGTAACATCAGGTAGGAGCAAGCCAATATATTATTGAACTTCTAGAGGATTGTCTTGAGTTAGTAACTATTTCTTCTGAAATCTGGCATAAGTGTTATCATCTATCCAATCCCACCTCTAGAAGTGAAAAGGTCCAGGTGGATTCAGGGGTACTGCTTGCTGACTCACTCTAGCTACGTATGGGCAATCTAGGGGTAGAGCTGAGAGACAGAAAAGTGTGATGGTTTCTGATTCTATAAGTCATAGCACCGCCCATTTCTATGGAGTTAGGGACAGATTTCACAGTCTCAAAAGAGACTGCCCTTTTGCTGGGCAGGGAAGGATCTACTAACTTTCTGCAACAGATGGCTAGGGAGAGATTTCTGTAGGGTTTGGCTAGATATTGGCTATTTCTTCCAGTATCGCTAAAATCTGGTACATCAGAAATCAAAATCTAGTCTTAGTACTGACTCAAAAATTTAAACCAAAATAAAGTGGAAAATACTGTATTTCATTGAAATCTAAGATGGTCTGATGCTGGCATGCAATGATCTTGCTAGGTATCAATAGAAGGTTTTCACATAATCATGTCTCAGTTGGCACCAATGTTATAGGCCATCGATTTTTTTTTTAATTGTGAAAAGAACGCAACACGAAATGTACGCTCGTAACAAATTTTAAGTTCACAATATGGTATTGTTAAGTATGGGCATAATGTGGAACTTATTCATCTTAGATGCCATTAATTATTAAAAGCATTTTGATTTCAGAGATTTCTTGATAAAAGTATACATTTTAGAATCAATGAAAGAGAGTAAAGATTAGAAAAAAAGTAATATTTTCTAAAAGACCAGAACTTCTTTCTCGCTCTCTTTTTTAATAGTGGCTATTTCTTCCAACAATGAAGGCCTGCCTTGTTGTTTAAAAGTGGGCTAGATCGCCCTAACCGGTTTGGCTCAGTGAATAGAGCGTCAGCCTGTGGACTGAAGAGTCCCAGGTTCGATTCCGGTCAAGGGCATGTACCTTGGTTGCGGGCACATCCCCAGTGGGGAGTGTGCAGGAGGCAGCTGATCGATGTTTCTCTCTCATTAATGTTTCTAACTCTCTATAAAAAATCAATAAAATATATATATTTTTTAAAAGTGGGCTAGATCTGATGGACCTGGCTGTCAATCATAATCACGTAGAAAACTTAAAATAATACAGATTTTATGAGACTATCCAAGACTCAATGAATCAGAACCTCCAGAACAGAACCTGTGAATCTGTATTAAACACAAAACTCTCTGGGGGTTGGGGGCGCCTGGGGAGAGGTCAATGGGGGGAAAAGGAGATTTATGTAATACTTTAAACAATGAAGAACTTAAATTAAAAAAAAAATTCTCCAAATGCTATCAATACCCAGCCAGCTGGGAAAATCACTGCAAAAGAAATGATCCTTAAAGCTTCCATATAATACTGCAATTCTTTAATTCTCCTGTTTGCTGCTAAAAATTAAAAACTTAAAGTTCTTTACTCACCAAAACATAATTAACTATGATATAACTAAAACAGACTTCTAGTTTTACAGGTCTTACAACTAATTCAAGAGGAGACATATCTCATACATATTTACTTTGTAATATCCTTACATTGGAGGACTGGTAGACATAAATGTTTAAGTTGCTGCAATTTCTCCGCTTCCTTTCACCCTATCTGCTCCTTGCACTGTTGAGGAAGTCTGTTGTCCTTTCCTGAAAGGGTCCTAGTTAAGATAGGAAATATCTTTTTTATTAATATTGGTCATACAGAACTCACACAGTTGTAAAGCAAAGTTTCAGAGTGCAAAAATGCTTACAAGGTAGTCATGAATATTTACTGAATCTTAATTTTCTTCGGTTTTTATTTACTATGGTAAAATGAGTCTAACTGGCTCAGATCTGAACTCAAATGCAAAATAAAAACGATTCTTGATAGTCTTTAAATCCACTAGATTTATTTTCTGAATAGAAATGTGATCTTTTCATTTCAGGCAGTCAGTTGCCCTCTGGAACAAAATCAGGCGTGTATCTACCAGCTACACAATATAATAAAGTTGGGTTTAAGTCTATATGAAGGAAAGAAAAAGGAACAAAAAACCATTGGTCTGTGACCCTGTACTGCATTTTCAGAGGATGAAAGATGGCTTTTTCCTTATCTTTTGAAACTGAAAAACAACTGCCTTCTTACCCCCTTCTTCTCTTTTCCCCACCAAAAACTTGTGCCAGTAAAACAATTAATTAATTAAATGAGATAAGCATATAGTGTGCCTTTACGCATGTTTGATACATATCAAGCAATCAAATGTTAGAGGCCGTAATAGAGTTCTCCCAATAAGAAGGGGGTAGTAGTGTAAATTTAGTGTAGGGCTTGGGTTAATTTAGAAACGCCAGATGGATTATACTCAAGCTCTGTGAGGGAGGGTAAGAGAGTTACATGGCATGAACCCTCAAGACAGTATTTTAGGAAGACTGCTAAAGACCAATTTAGTTATGTCACGTTGCTAAAAACTTAAATTATAAAATAATTTAGGCTGTGCTTCCAAAGTATTTATGGGTAGAATTTAGAAGAAAGTAGGATTGTCTCTTAGTAACTTAGGACCTTTGAGTAATTAAGGACTTTTTAAATAACCCAAATTTTCCTCAACAGCAAATATTTGGATACATATTTAATTTATTCAAATTAAAATTTTAATTTAAATGTCACAATTTTCAACCTAAGACATTCACATCACAACTGTGTATAGTTTTGCTTTTACACTAGGCTTGATATCATAAGACTGGTCACCAAGCAAAACTTGACAGTAAGCCCTTTTTTTCCTATTCCATTTCCAGTCCATGTTTTACATTCCCCCACCCCCATTTCTATTTTCACTGTCTACTATAAACTATGAGTACATAAATAAGTAATTATGTACATAAATAGTTCTCTCTTAAATTCTCAAATAGCACAGGGTGATATACCCATGGTCACACTGATTATTGTGGGGTTGTTATATTTTTTTGGCCTTCTCCCTTAACAGATAAAAATCTTATATTTGTAGCATCTCATTATATATGTTTAAGCACATATGTGTACATATGTAATTTCATATCTATAGATATCTCATATACAATCTATTACTCTCACTTCTTCCAAAGATACAATTTGAAAACAATAAAGAAAAGGAAAACCAGAATTTATGTGAAGATTCATAAGCAATCGAAGGAAAGAGAATTTTATATTGTAATAATCCCTGTTGCTAATAGAAGACTCATGAATGCAAAATGCATATGAACTATATTTCATCTAGCAAATCAAATATGGCTATCAAAAATATACTTAAGAGTTTGCTTTTTAAAAATATAGATTTCTTTGAGACCTAAGCAAAACTTTAGACAATAAAATATATATATATTAAAGATATATAGATTTATTTTAAACCTTTGTTAAACTGCTAAAATAGTACAGGGATAATTTGTCCTTTTTCAGTAGTCTGCACACAACAAATATGCCACTCACTAACTGAAACACAAAAACCAACCATAAGTAGACTGGATATGTCAGAATATTCCTTATGCTACCAAGAAAATATTTTGTTCATTATCTTAAGGGAAATTAAATATGTGGCCGAGCTTCCTATACCTGAAGTTCATCTATGAAGGCAGTCTCTATCAAAACCTTCTATCGTCTTCAGCATACCTTTCATTGAACATTGAGGATTTCATATTTGGAGATCATAAAACTTGAATTTTTCGTTACTATTATAGCCATGGTAAAAATTAATATATAAATGAAAAACCCCAATTTAATCGTAAATTTTAATGATTAAAAGATGGCCTTTTATCTTTAAAGTGCCCTTCCTCTCACATTAAGATATACTGAGCGCCTAAAGGGCAGTATTATAGTTAGGTTAGCAGGTATGTTACTTAAATAAACCTTACCTAGCCCTTTCCCTGATATCAAACTTGTTTCCCATTAAAAATAAACTTTAAAAAGCAGACCTTCCCAAACCTTCTTCCAAACTGATGATGGCTGCTTGCAGCTGACTTTGACTGACTGCTTCAAGACACAGGCCCCGGCGAGAGGACTCAGTGACGGAGGGTGGCAGCAGAACTGTGCTGGCGTGGCCTAGCAAGTAGATAGTTGCCACAGTTTGAAATTCTGCTGAACAGCTTGCCACTGCCCAGGGTCATTCACTGGTCAACATTTTCAGATCCAATCAATTATTACATTGAGGATCCTCAGAAGGACTTACATTAAAAGGAAGACTGTAGCCTTTCTGCATCATATCAAAGCATTGACAAGAACTTGTCCCTGGCTAGGTTAGCGGAAGATGCAGAACATGTAGAGGAATATGCAAGGAGGAGGCAGTTAATGTTTGAAACCAACAGTTATCAGGAAAGAAAAGTTAGTAGGGAGGCAAGTGAGATGAATTAGTCTTCAAACCCTTTACAGTATTAAAATAGATGGACCATACATAGCCCTAGAGCTGTAACATTCGTTACCTGAGCAAGATAGCGTTAAGGCAAGAATGAAACAAGCAAATGGCATTTGCGATAGTAATAACAACGTTTAGGGTTGGTTATTTTTCTTTTCATACGTTTGTCATGCATTTATCTACTTAAGCTCTAGGGAAAATAATTCACTTACCAATTATTGTTAAAATAAATAAAAGTGTGGCGATGGCTGATGTTCCATAAAACATGGTACTGATATTATAAGCCAAAAGATCCGTGTTGTTCACTGTGTTGGGCACCAACACTGGTGGTAGCAAAAAGCCAACTGCAGTTCCAAGCTGTAAAATAAACAGTCCTGTTAACAGCTATCTCAGAAGAGAAAGAAGTACGTACTGCCAATTAATACAACACAATGAGGACAGCTAGTGTACGTGAGGTGCTTTTGTGAACTCTAAAGCACCACGTTCTAATGTCTTTTTACAATGGTACCATTAAAGAGGAATTGCTGACAGATCTCTTCCCTATCAACAAGCATTCACTGAGCTCCTGTAACCTAAATAATGCTGCTCTAAAGTTTGATGCTTACAATAAAAAAGGGAATAAGAATATGCAAAATAAGATTGCGAAAATACAACATTTTTTCCTATAGGATGGGAAAAAATATCTGTAAATTATATATTTGATAAGGGTCTACTATCCAGAATACATAGAGAACTCTTATGATTCGACAACAAAAAGACAAACATCCCAATTCAAAAGTGGGCAAAGGACTTGAATAGACATTTCTCTAAAGAAGCTACACAGCCGAAACCGGTTTGGCTCAGTGGATAGAGCGTCGGCCTGCGGACTGAAAGGTCCCAGGTTCGATTCCGGTCAAGGGCATGTACCTGGGTTGCGGGCACATCCCCAGTAGGAGATGTGCAGGAGGCAGCTGATCGATGTTTCTAACTCTCTATCTCTCTCCCTTCCTCTCTGTAAAAAATCAATAAAATATATTAAAAAAAAAAAAAGAAGCTACACAAATGTGCAATATGCACGTGAAAAAAAAATGCTCAATATCATTAGTCATTAGGGCAGTGATGGCGAACCTATGACACGTGTGTCAGAGGTGACACGCAAACTCATTTTTTTGGTTAAATGGCATTTAAATATATAAAATAAATATCAAAAATATAAGTCTTTGTTTTACTATGGCTGCAAATATCAAAAAATTTCTATATGTGACACGGCACCAGAGTTAAGTTAGGGTTTTTCAAAATGCTGACACGCCGAGCTCAAAAGGTTCGCCATCACTGTATTAGGGAATTGCACATCAAAGCCACAATGAGATACTACTTCATATCCACTAAAATAGAAAATAAGTGGGAAAATAAGAAATGTTGGCAAGATGTGGAAAAAATGGAACTCTGTACACTGCTAGTGGGATTGTAAAATGAAGTGGTCACTGTGGAAAAGTTTGGCAGTTCCTTAACAAGTGAGACAGAATTACCATGTAACCCAGCAATTCCATTCCTAGCTATTTAGCCAGGTTTTCAAACAAATATTGACTACTGTATATGAATATTATAGCAACCCTAGTCACAATAGCCAAAAGGTAGAAACAACACAAATGCCCATCAGTGGATGAATGGATAAACCAAAATGTGGTATATCCATACAATGAAATATTCAGCCATAAAATGAAGTATTGATACATGCTAAAAACATGGATGAACTTTGAAAATAGGCTAAGTGAAAGAAGCCAGGCACAGAAGGTCACATATGGTATGACTCCATTTATATGAAATATGTAGAATAGATCAATACAGAGAGAAAAAGCAAATTAGTGGATGCTAGGGGCAAAAGGAATGGGGAAATGAGAGTGACTGTGAAGTAGGTATTGGCTATTTGAGGATGGATGAGAATGTTTTGGAACTAGACAGAGGTGATGATTGCACAACATTGTGAATGTATCAGACGCCACTAAGCTGCTCACGTTAAAATGGTTTATTTTATGTTATGTGAACTTCACATCAGTAAGGAAAATATAAGGCTGAGTATGATAATCATAGAACGAGAAATAAAATCAAAGTACTAAAGGAGGCTCAATGGAAGGAAATATTAGATTCTTTGGGTGAGGGAGGTAACTGATCAATGTTTCTCCCTCACATGGATATTTCTCTCTCTCCACCCCCTCCTCTCTCTCTCAAATCAATAAACAGCCCTGGTTGGTGTGGTTGCCAGTTCAATTCCTAGTCAGAGCACATACTCAGGTTGTGGGTTCGATTCTCATCGGGTGCATATGGGAGGCAATCGGTTGATGTTTCTCTTTTACATTGATGTTTCTCTCTCCCTCTTCCTCTCTCTCTAAAATCATTTTCTTTTAAAAGAGCCAAAAGTGGTTCATTTTTAAAATCAATACACATATCCTCAGGTGAGTATTAAAAAAAGGAGGCAGAGATAACATTTACCAAATATTTCATTTGCTCCCTTACAAAATGCTAGATAGAGATAACTAAACAGGTAATTACAAGAGAGTAGTAAGTATAGTATTATAATGGAGAGGTAGGTGATAAGACTGGGAAGATCAAGTAATTTATGATCCAAACAAGAATACTACTCAGAGTGAAAGGGACTCCGGGAGTAATTATACTGGACAACAGGTGTACTGTCCCAGGCAAACTGAGGGTTACCCTAGATAAGAGAGTACTTCGGAGGAGCACCTTATATAGACTTGGAGTTCAGGAAAAGTTTCTGGAGGAGCAAAGATCTGATTAAGGAACTGGAGTTAGCCTTAGCCGGTTTGGGTCGGTGGATAGAGCGTCAGCCTGCGGACTGAAGAGTCCCAGGTTCAGTTCAGGTCAAGGGCACATGCCCGGGTTGCAGGCTCGATCCCCAGTAGGGGGCGTGCAGGAGGCAGTGAATCAATGATTCCCTCGTCGTTGGTGTTTCTCTCTCTCCCTCTCCCTTCCTCTCTGAAATGAACAAAAATATATTTTTTTAAAAAAGAAAGAAAGAAAAGAAACTGGAGTTAGCCAAGTGAAGTAGAAATGTTCCCAGACAAGGGGACATCATGTACAAAGGGAAGAGAGAGCATGACCTTGTGAGAAACTGTGAGTAGAGCACACAGTTTCCCTCAGAGCAGAGAAAGAGTAGGCATGTGAGGATGGATGGGGGTGTGGAGAGAGGTGAAGCTGAGGAATTGGCAGGAGGTTGAGCTGGAACGTCAGACATTGTCACAATAGTTTGAATTCTTTCTTCTTCTAAATGTCAGAGTTCTCGGTCAGATTTGAAAACTTTAAAAGAAGTCCTTGGCAACCACAACCTCCAAGTTATTCTTGGTGACCTTGCTATACCCCTGGCTATAATCTTGGGACCAGAGAGGCATATAAAAAGTCATCTTAGACCGTTTGAATTTTATCCGAAGGGCAATGGAAGCCGCTGCAGGGGAGTGCCCAGACAGAGCTATTAGAAAGACCACACTGGATGGATGTGGAGAATAGAGGGAAGAGAGCAAGAGCTGCGGATGGAAAGGTCGGTTAGCAAGCTCTCTAGGTGACGGCTGCAGGCAGCCAAAGCTAAGACAGTGGCAGTAGAAATGAAGAGAAAAGAGCTAGGAGGCAAAGTCAGTTTTGGTTGGTGGGGTCGTATGGGATATCCAAGTGGCCAAATCCAGCTGGCCAGTATCTATGAATCTGAAACTTATCCGTATAGTCAAGCAGTTTTTATGGAGACTCTACGATGTGCCAGGCATTGTAACAAATGCTGGTGATACAAGTGTGTACATTCAGACCTTGTGCCTATTTTCATGAAATTTACAATCTGATGGTAGGGATGGGAAGTGAGTAATAAAGAATGGTTAATATACAAATATATAAATATACCAGACAGTGATAAGCACTACATAGAGAATTAAAGTATAATTATGTAATAAGAGAATGATTGGACAACTCTAAATGGGATTGTCAAGAATTGCCACTGAGTGATATTTAAAATGAATTTAAACTGAGAACTCAGTGACAATAAGGATGTAATAATGTCATCCTAAGCAGGAAGAACATCCCAGGCAGAGGGAATGCTTCTGCAAAGGTGCTTATGCAAAATGCAAGTTTAGTATTGTTTAAGGAACCAAATAAGACATATTAGTAAGGTTGTATAATTCAAAGTAGAGTTTAGATTTTAAGTACTATGGGAAATCATTGGCAAGTTCAAAGCAGGGCAATGGCTTGATATGTTTTGAAAGGTTCTCTCAGGTTAGAGACCTGGCAATATTAGATGGTTAATTTAAATCTAGAATTCAGGGGTCAGACAGACTTGAGTGTGAATGTTGGCACTAATTAGCTATGTGACTTTCAGGAAATAATTTCGTCCCTTCAAGACTCAATTTCTGTATCTATAAATTGGGGAGAATCATAGTTCCTACCTTACATTACTAAATTAAATGACACATGCAAGTAAAGGACTTAATATGGTGCCAGGTTTTAATGAGTGCTGAATAATGTTGTATATTATTATAAATGATCACTCCATAATCTAGGCTGAAGTTGCACACATGGGGGTCATGAGCTACTGGAGTCAAGGAAGGATGAGAACACCCAGGGAGATATAGGAAGAAGGCCCAGAGATGTGCTGATGGTTAGAGGGAAATCTACCTATGAGAAGACATTTCCATTTATTATCCATGAAATAGATAATCCATGGCTATGGAGTTGATAATATTTGTCATGCTCAATGAAGTCTTAATCTTGAATATAATTTTGTAAATGTAAAATATTTTTTTAAATATATTTTATTGGTTTTTTACAGAGAGGATGGGAGAGGGATAGAGAGTTAGAAACATCGATAAGAGAGAAACATCGATCAGCTGCCTCCTGCACACCCCCTACTGGGGATGTGCCCGCAACCAAGGTACATGCCCTTGACCGGAATCGAACCTGGGACCCTTCAGTCCGCAGGCCGGGGCTCTTCCACTGAGCCAAACCGGTTAGGGCATGTAAATGTACAATACATTAAGTAAACAGTTCCTATCCAAGCATGCAGAAGCAAACAACTAAAATATTGGTCATAAAATATTTTGGATACAAAACAACTATAGTTCAAGCTACCCCTTCTGCACTTTTAGAGAAAGGAAATAAATATAAAGCATGTAGAGTTTGTCTTTTTTAAATGGATTTTAAATAAATCTTACTGTGATCTTGAAACAAGTATTGGATTGGAAGTAACTTTTTTTTATTAGTGTTTTTTTTAATATATATATTTTTATTTCAGAGAGGAAGAGAGAGAAACATCGATGATGAGAGAGAATCATTGATTGGCTGCCTCCTGCACGATCCCCACTGGGGATTGAGCCTGCAACCCAGGCATGTGCCCATGACTGGAATTGAACCCAGGACCCTTCAGTCCGCAGGCCGACGCTCTATCCACACTGAGCCAAACCAGCTAGGGCAGAAGTAACATTCTTTTGTTACATAACTACATATATTGCTACATGTAGTACAGAGAGATGTGAAGTTCTTGGTGTACAGATTTTTAACTAGATTCTCCTCAAGCTAATGAACACTCAATACAATTTACATAAAGTATAGAACTCCATATGCAAAATTTAAGTTATAAGAGAATCAATCTGCAATTTTAAAAAACCACACATTCTACCTAGTCATGCTAATGGAATTGGGACCTATGGTGTAAGAAAAGACTAACAAGCACCTTAATGGAGACTTAGCAATGTAAGCCACCCTTTTACAATGGGTTCCAAGATCTGTGATTTATCTTCATTTTCTTACCGTTAAAAATTGGTCATTGGACTCAGGAATTTTGTGAGATTTTTATCTCTAGAACATCTATTTAGCAGTCATGGATAAGTGTTATGTACCAAGCACTCTGCAGGCTGCTACTATATAAAACTAAACAGGGCTATTCACATTGACCACTCAAATGGAACAGACTTCCCAGAATCCAATACCTCTTTTGCAAATACACTGACAGGGGTGACAAAAATAATACCTACCCAAGTCTCATTCATTACTGCACTGCCAAGTCTGCTATGATGCCAGGCACATAGGAGCCATTTCAGTTAATTATTTTACAGGTAATTCTCAAAGCAAAGTGATCAGGTGCTCACTTTAACCTGTTTTTTCAAAGTCTTTTCCTTACAAAGAGACCAAAATCCCCCTTTAAGCCAAGGCTGACTCCTATCCCTTTATTAGACAAGCCTCCGGAAGGTCCATCCGTATGCCTAGCTCACATGGCCTATCACTTTATCTGGTCCTTTAAGCATCCGATTCTCATCTATCAACCCTAGTACCTTACCTGATTGCCGAGCACGGCGGTGGAACAAGCTGTGGACACCTCTTTGGGCCCAAACCACACCGAGGCGATGCGGGAGGGCAAGCCCAGGATGAACACCTGGGCCACGGAGCACAGGGCCTGGCCCAGCATGGTGACCCAGAACAGGTGCTGCTGCACGCTGCCGCACTTGACCCAGGCGCCCAGGCAGTTGAGGCCGGAGCCCAGCAGGGCGGTGAGGCGCAGGCCCTTGGTGTCCAGCAGCCAGGTAGCTGGGAAGATGAGGGGCACGTACGCCAGCATGTACACCATGGACAGCCAGTTGATGTGCAGTGAGGAGACGCCGTAGAAGCCCTCGAAGACGTTGCTGATGATGCTGTACTGGATCCACTGAAAGGCGTTGACCATCGAGTACAGGCTGAAGATCAGGAGCACCGCAAAGCGCCGCGCGGAGAGCGCCGTCCGGGGCGCCGGGGAGCCCTCGG